AATGATTGCTGTAATCGTACTTGTAATAATTCTAAGCATAATGACATTGTGACTAAGTTGTACAGTGACATAGTTAAGGCGTTATCAGAAGCCTCCGTGGTGGGCCGAGAGTGTAAAAAGCATATAAAAAGCAAGAAAGTTATAGGCTGGAATAAGCATGTAGCGGAAGCCCACGGGAAGGCCAGGCATAAGTTTTTATTATGGTTGTGGTACGGTAAACCAATTGCAGGACGTGTCTATGACGAAATGTGTGAGGCTAGAAAAATTTTCAAATCAAAATTAAGATGGTGTCAAAACCATCAAGAGCAAATTAAAATAGATATTCTAGCCTCACATTACTCTAGGAAAGATTTTCGGGGATTCTGGAAGTATACGAATAAGCTGAATAGTAGGCCGTCTCTTCCCGTGAGCATAAATGGTATTTGTGAGCCTGTCAAGATTTCTAATATTTTTGCGGACCATTTCATCGTTAAATCACCACAGGGGCCTTCTGAATCAATGTTTAATGTTGAGACCAGCAGGGAAATGGGGATAAGTTTTCTTAATAAAGATATCTCTCAAACAATTAAGTGTATGACTAGAGGTAAATCCCCTGGTCATGATGGTCTTAGCATTGAGCATCTTCAATATGCTGGGCCGCACCTTCCCAGAGTTCTATCGATGCTTTACAATCTATGTGTAAGTCATAGTTTTATGCCGAGTGAAATGATACGTACGATAGTCGTGCCTATTGTGAAAAGCAAAACGGGTAACCTAACGGATAAAAATAACTATAGGCCTATCTCTCTGGCTACGGTTATATCGAAGGTATTTGACAGTATGCTTAATCAGCTATTAAATATTTACATAAAACCTCATGATAACCAATTCGGTTTTCGACCTGGTTTGTCTACGGAGAGCGCTATATTAGGTCTTAAGCATACTGTCAATTACTACACAAAGCGTAAGACTCCCATTTATGCTTGCTTCTTAGATTTGTCCAAAGCTTTTGACCTGGATACAATGGAAAAAGATGAATGAACTAAATATCCCATTAGAACTTACCAACATATTTAAATATTGGTACAGAAACCAGGTCAACAACGTACGATGGGCAGGAGCCTTATCAAGGCCGTATGGGCTGGAGTGCGGGGTGAGACAGGGGGGATTGAGTTCACCATCGCTTTTCAATCTTTACGTGGACGATTTGATCGCTGAGCTCAGCAGTACCAGGGTCGGCTGTTACGTGGATGGTGTTTGTGTAAACAATATTAGCTACGCTGATGACATGGTGCTGTTGAGTGCATCAATTTGTGGCCTTAGGAAGCTAGTGGCCGTGTGCGAGGCTTATGTAGAAAGACATGGACTGATCTACAATACGAAAAAAAGTGTAGTGATGGTCTTTGAGGCCGAGGGTAAATCAAAATTTAATGTACCACCTATTACCCTTAATGGTGTAACTTTAGAAATGGTGTCTAAATTTAAATACCTAGGACATATATTGACCCCCGACCTCAAAGACGACACGGATATAGAGAGGGAACGAAGGGCGTTGTCAGTGAGAGCGAATATGCTGGCCCGTAGGTTTGCACGTTGTTCATATAGTGTTAAACTCACCTTGTTCAGAGCATATTGTAAAACTTTTTATACGTGCAACCTGTGGGCTAAGTACTCTCAAAAATCATATAACGCGCTTCGTGTTCAATATAATAATGCCTTTAGGGTGCTGTTGGGATTGCCCCGTTTTTGTAGTGCATCAGGGATGTTCGCAGCAGCGAGGATAAATTGTTTCTATGCCACGATGCGCAAAAGATGTGGGTCCCTGGTGGATAGATTACGGGGTAGTACCAACAGCATCATGAGGGTAATTGCCAGTAGGCTGGATTGTAGATATGTTAACCACTGCTGTGCTATTTCTTGTTAGTAATGTATAAATGTATGTGAATGTAAAAGTATATCTATTTAAAATGTATCTAGAGTGTAAGTACTAACATAGAATATAAGCACCTTGTATACTAACAAAATATGAGTCTTAGGTTACTTGAAATAAAATTTATTATTATTATATTATTATTATTATTATTTTAATTTAGTTTGCTATTATTTAAAAACAACTTACTAAGCAACACTATTAATATATACTTTTACAAATGAAAAATATTAATCTGATAAGCTGTCATTTTGATCTGCACAGTATGAACTTACTACATCTGCCTGTCTGTTTTGTTTATATTTATTATTTGATTTTATTATATTAATAACAGGATCCCATGACGATAGTAGTACCCAGCCATCTTTCCTATTGAAATTTCAATTCAACTATATCTTTAAGACATGTAACACCTCAGTCTCTCCCGTGACCATGGATGCTGTAAAGCATTCGAAACGTCGGGAACCAAAAATCAAAATAAATCCGCGAAATAATCCGAAAAGATAGTTTTATTTAATAATGTCAAACATTCGCGTAAATCTAAGAAAGTATTAAGAATAGATATTGCTTAGGAGATATACATAATCTATTCAGAACTTTCCTGTAGGACTTTTCAAGACCTACAATTTTTTAGTATATTGTTTTGATGTATGTATGTCTTAAGGTTAAGCCAGCGGAAGGTTTCTAGGGAGGACTCGATAAATTGTATCTTCCCGTGAAACGCGCATACAAAAACAGACAAATAGACATACAGGCAAACAGACAAACAGACAATTTTTTTAATAACTATTGTTTTGGGGTCTATGTTGTGTACATAAAACGTTACAAATAAACAAAAAAATCTATCCCACGGCAACAGTTCATTTTTCCGGGATAGAAAGTAACCTATTTGTTATTCTGATGTATGAACTATATATATTATTGTAAAGTTTCATCCAAATCCAATCAGTAGTTTTTGTGTACTAAGCTGTATAAGTTGTTATAGTTTTTTAACTATCCCACGGGAACTCTTTAATTTTCCGGAATTAAAAGTATCTAAGATGTTTCCCGGAAATATAAGGTACCACCATGCAAAATTTCATTTAAATCGGTCCAGTAGATTCGGAGATTAGCCCGTACAAACAGGAAAACGGACAAACAGCTCGCTCGGGTTCATCCATACCTACGAATATGTTGTATTATCTCTTTAACCATTTGTGCAAATTATATGCAGTAAAAGGGAAAAGTCTTTTGTTTTAAACATTTTAGACGATAAATTTACTTATTTTGATAAGAATTCATAATTGTTGATAATATGACCAATAAACATGACCTACCGACTTCATTAATTTTTTTAATATAAAAAACTACTTTTTGTGACTTAAATACAAAAGTTAGACATATGCTGTCGCTGACTTTTTTGTAGGCATTATTAAGCTCTAAAACTTTTCTCTAGAACATAATCATATATCTCTCATCGTTAAGGCAGCGTTCGTAAGAAACGTTTTCGTTCGACTGTTTTGTCTCCGACTTACTTTGCAAATCCGACTACCACGAAAAAGCCTTTTCGTTTTTCGGGTTATAGCCTATGACACTCAAAAAGAACGTGGCTTTCTATTGGTAAAAGAATTTTGAAAATCGGTCGGTAGATCCAGAGATTACCCCCTACAACATCACAAACTCACAAACCCACAAACTCACAAACTCACAAGATCACAAACTTTACCTCTTTATAATTTTAGTATAGATGATCGGTCTACAGGAGTACCTAACCTACATTACAATAGAAAGAAGTACGCAATACAAAGATGATATATTGATTGAAAATGAAAAAACATAAATAAAGAGAACTATTATATACCTGTTTGTCAACCGACTTCAAAAAGGAGGGGGTTCTCAATTCGACTGTATTTTTTTTTATGTTTGTTACCTCAGAACTCCGTCATTTATTAACCGATTTGGATAATTTTTGTGTTGTTTGAAAGTGTATACTTCCAGATTGGTCCCATTTAAATTTAAAAAAAAATACCACCCCTAAAGGTGGAAAAATAGCTAATGATGAATTTAACCTACTTCTAATTGTCATATTGACTTGAAACTTTGCAAGTGTTTCTATTTCCGTTGATAGTACAGTGGTTCGGTATTGTTGACCTGATCTGATGGTAAGGCCAGAAGGTGGATAGGTGGAACTCTTCAACGGCTAATAGTAGATACTTTGAGTTTGGACTTGTTTTGTTTGATTTGACAAGCCTAATACGTTAGAATTCTTACTTTGCTACTACTGTCTACACTAAAAAGGGAAAAATAAAAACTTTTTAACAAAAAAATAAAAACCGACTTCAAACAAAAGCACTAAAAAGTAAAAAATAACTGATTGGTAGTTTTCATTTACTATTCATACCTAATGAAATATTTTCGAAGTCGGTGTGCTTTGGCTAAGTAATTAAAGCCTACCTATCAAATACATACCTAATCAAATATTTTCGAAATCGGTGCCAGCCCATACAAAGCAAAGCACACCGACTTCGAAAATATTTGATTAGGTATGTATAGTAAATGAAAACTACCAATCAGTTATTTTTTACTTTTTAGTGCTTTTGTTTGAAGTCGGTTTATATTTTTTTGTTAATTATTAAAACAATTATTGTAATTATAAAATAGTGACATCTATTATTATATGCATTAACTATTTTAGATAAGCTTTTAAACTATAGTTTCTGTAAGATGGCGATATTTTTTTAAATATTAGTTTCAACTTAGTACCTATTTTCATAAAAATATAAGTAAGCAAATAATAGGCAGATTAACATGTATGCTTGCAACTCTTGAACTAAAAAATGAAATAAAAATTTGACATTAATAATATAATAGTAGATAAAACAAAATTAAGAATTCATTGCAAGCTGGGTTCATTTCAATTCTCTTGTTAATGGCTTCAAAGCGTGTCAGTAAAATATTGCAAACTCTCACGGGGTTTTGTAATTAGTCTTATTTAAAGTTTGTCAAATATTAAAATTAATAATTTTAGTAAAATACACTAAAATTTGCATTTATTTAAAAATATTTTTCAACCTTGAATGAGACACATCATGTTTTCTTTTGGTATCGATTAAAATGGAAAAATAGGATAATTTTGAGTATCAATAAATTTTGTTGTCGATTTTGAAGGTCGTTGATTACACGGAGAGGGGCTACTTGATCGGTGAGATGATTTTGGACACGTGGGAGTATGACTTGTTTTGGATGTTGCATTTGCAGGAGCGCAGGGATTCTGTCTAGGTCGACTTGCTTTTGGTTCTGTGCAGGTTTTACGTTCATCTGCTTTCTTTGGCTCAATCATATTTTCACTTTTTCTACGTCCTTTTAATTTTTTTTGAAGATTCTTAATTGATAGCCATGTCTCAGATCCATTTGTAACATTATTGTATCTATTGCTGGCAGGATCTAATACTGTATTTTTTGCACAAGACATGGGCATGGCAGCGTCAAAATCAAGCAACACTCGAACTCGAACAGCTTCAGTTGATGGCGGAACTTTTAATTCAATGCCTCCAGCACCTATGCATTTATCGTCTTTCATATTTTTATGACTAGTAGTTACTCGACCTCGTCCTACTTCTGAAAGCTGTGACCTTTCTTGTAATAGTAAATTCAGTTTGTCTTCATTACTACTTACTTTTTGTTGAAAAGCCATTGGATTCGATGAAGAATGAGAACGCCTATAATCAAAAATATACGTTCCTGTATGAAGCTGCCGACGAGGATTGTCTGTGTTACTTCTAGCCCCTCGACGCCGTAATCGTTCGATGAGTGAAGGTTCTTTACAACGTGGTGGAACATGTTTGGGAAGAGGAAATTTTGAACATAAATTTTGATTGATGCCACGTTTTGAATCTGTTTCAATATTTTCGGGTGCATTAGCTTCACGAACTTCAGATTTACTTTCATGGTGTTTAAAACTTTCAATAATACGTGATGTTAAATTCCCAGAAGATGTGGTTCGTTTTGGAGTAGTATCAGTACTACCATAAGCAGGTGGAACTGAGGGTTTTGTAGAAGGCGCAAGAGATTGTGACCTATCGATTTCAACAAATATGCGAGGATGATGCGAGCAAGGATCAAGGTGAGTATCTCGTTTGATTTTACAGTTGTCAACAGGTTCCAGAGGAATAGGACATGGTGGCGGAGGATTGCGAAAGGCATCACAGCGCCTCTCGTTTTTATTTAACTTTGTCATTGTATAGTCGTGGCCGTCAGTTGCGCGCATACATTCACGCTCTTCTGCCAAATGATAAGAATATGTGGGCGTCGCTATTGGAGTCGATGATAGTTTTTTTGCTACCTCACATTCATATTCCAAGCGACGTATACGCTCTGCCGCCTCAAGACGTCGTGCGACCCGATCTAGTTGTGTTCCACATGCATTCGAACTACAGCCTTCGACTTCGATTTTGCAATTTGTACTTATTTTTTCCTAAAATTAAATAGATTAATTTAGTACATTAAGCAACTGTTAGAGGTATATTATATCATTCTGATATCATTAAATAGTGTTAAAAATTTTATTGGACAGATTATTACATAATTGTTTATTACCCGTTTGTTAATATTATTGCAAGTGAATGAAACAGGAGATTGTGGTGGGTGGCAGGGCGGGCGCTGGCCTACGGGCAGCGCACAGCACATGACGCGCAGCCCGCTGGGGCACGAGGTGGTAGGCTCGCGGCACGACGGCGGCGGCCGCGGCTCGCAAGGCGGACACTCCGGGGCTTCTGTTGGTACACAGGAGCTACGACGGTGTGCACCGGAGTTCAAACCGTCTGCCAAGCCCCGCTTTATCTGAAACTGAAGAAAAATAATAATTTTTAATTGAGTTTCAAATGCGCATAAATATAAATGGATGATGACTTACTATGTGTATGAATCGGGCAAAGGTACGGGGCGCATGTTGTAGCGCCATATTGTGGGTGTGTGTTGTTACTTGTTCGGCGAATGATTAACAAAGTCATATTGTTATATTCAAGAGGGCTATTATATCTAGTTGGTTTTATATTGCAAAACGTAGCGTGCGATATACATACATATAAAATGGAAGTGGCCAGCAATACGCCCTTAGAATTTATTTTTCGAGAAATTGAACTTTGATATCTTATTTTTTATTTTATATATATTTTAATTCTTATCTATTTTTGGATTTATCTTGATGGTATTGTATTATTCATCATATAAAAGAAAGATTTGCGCAACAAGACAGATTTAGAGTCAAATAAAGCAATTAAATAACACATTTTATACCTATTTATAAGAAAGTCCCTGGTGAGCCTGAGGTATGTATGTATGTATGTGTGCGCTAATTTTGAAAACTACTTAATGAATGTTGATGTGGTTTTTGCTGTCATAATGAGAATGTATGGTATGGTGAAATTAAAATTGTTCTGGCACTTATAGGGGTTGAGCATTGACGATGTCAACGAATCGAGTCGATAGGAAAAGCGATGTCTAGTTGCTTTATCGGCTTGTACTGAACGGGTGATTGAATATGAGTGAAAACAGTGTTTGTCAAGTAAGTATACCTCTCTTAGATCTACTATTAGGTACAAATAAGTTTGTGATACAAAATATTATCTAAGTTTTATATTTAAGCAGATATAGTTGATTTTATGTTCAAAGACGGACATTATTTATTTTTTTGGCAAGCCACCTATGTATATAAATACATACATATAACAAAATAATAAAGAAGAGAAATCTGTACATCAAATAGTTTTTAAAAACTATGACTCTTACATAACCTGTACAGAATATAGATTACAAAACTGTTGTTGAAATTTCTGTCCGTTTGTCTGTAAATTTGTTTGCCTTCACTCATTAAGTACGGAACAGATTTTAACTATTTTTTAGTTTTTTTTTAATTATTTTTGTAATTTTAGTAAATAAATGTTTTAATTGTGGCGATAATTATAACTCGGGTTAGCATTTACCATACCTTTTACTACAGAAAAATCTCTCATTTCCACACTGGAAATACAATGACTAGTTCGGCCGAATTGTCATTCATACAAAAAATTCAAAGATTTATAAAAGATCACTAGTAGGTTTAATAGTTAACATTTTTAACAATTTAGTGCGGTAAAACCTCTTATTTTCATATGAAAATGCCTAAATCTGTTTGTTCGCTTATTTCGACTTGTGGTTTAAAATCATAAAATCATAAAGTGGTACATTTTGTTTAAGTAATTTATCATACAATCATCATTAAGATCAGGTCTCAAGCATCACGACACCGCGACTGCGACACAGCGAAAGAAAAATGATATTATATATAGTATAGGATGTCACATAGACGAATACAGTGCAAATAGCCATAGCTATGCTGATGATAACGTGCTGCTCAGTCCATTAATAAGATGTTTGCAGAGGCCCCTTTCTATTTGTGAAAAATATATTAAAAGTCATGGTTTAGTTTACAATAGTAAAAAATCAGTTACGATGGTATTTAAATATAAAAATGGATCTGACTATGTACCTGAAATTGTTCAAAATAATGTTCAGTTTGATTGTGTTATACAATTTAAATACCTTGGACATGTAGTTAATGAAATGTTAACAGATGAGAACGACATAGAGAGGGAACGTAGAGCATTGCCGATGCGTGGAAACATGTTGTCCCGTAGATTTGCTGCGTGTACAGACCAGGTTAAAATTACACTCTTTAAGGCCTATTGTCACGTTTTCAATGTTTCTTCTGTTCTTTTCAAATTTTTAGACTGCCTAGATATTGTTGTGCATCGTGGATGTTCTACGAGGCACACACTGTGGTTTTGTTGCTGTCGTAAGAAAGAGGATCGCATGTCTGAGACAGAGGATAAATGACAGCACAAATTCTGTAATGAAAGCTGTAGAAAATTTTGGGCCAAATTTCTCCAGACATAGATTAAAGGATTTTTCATATAATGCTTTAGTTCAAATATTTAATTTTATTTATTGTTCTTAAGGATTAGGGAACCTTTGTATTTAATACTTTCTTAGATTTACGCGAATATTTGACATTTTAAATAAAACTATCTTTTCGGATTTTGTCGCGGATTTATTTGCATTTTTGTTTCCCGACGTTTCGAATGCTTTACAGCATTCATGGTCACGGGAGAGACTGAGGTGTTACATGTCTCGAAGGTAGAGTTGTTACAGACAGCCTACCCACAATTAACAAAATGAAAATTTCACCAATTACATTACAATTTTTTTTAATTTTAAACATTTTTATAATTTTAATTAGTTTTATAATTGAATATGGAATTTTATTTATTTAATTTTGCTGTATTATTATAATTATTACTATTTTAAAATATTAATTAATAATCTATATTTAGTCTTGCTATTATTCTATTTATAACCAAAAAGAAAAATATAAAATATAGTATTAATTATTTAAGCCATATAATTGTTCTATGTGTAATTTAAAAAGTTAAAATTAATTAAGGATAATAATTTTAATTTAGTTTGCTATTATTTAAAAGACAAATTACTAAGCAACACTATTACTATATACTTTTACAATTGAAAAATGAAAAAATGAAAATTTGTAAAAAAAATATTCGAATGCTGTAAAGCATTCGAAACGGCGGGAAACAAAAATGCAAATAAATCCGCGACAAAATTACGAAAAGATACTTTTATTTAAAACCTTTGTATTTATTTAATTTAGTTTTTAATTTAATTTTAGTTAGTTTATTAATTTTAGTTTAATTCACCTACTTTTCAAATTGTATGGAAAAGTGTTGCGAAATAAAGATTTATAATTATTATTATAAAATTAATAATTAATAAAAAAATATAATTAATAAAAAAGAGTAATATTATATTATACAGACTTAGTTTTTTTTTTGTTTTTATTCCTGTTTCTGATTCATCTGTTACGAATTTTGATTCATATGGGCCAAAAAAATTGAAGTTAAATATCTCAAAAATTATTTGATTAAAATGAGTGCGTAATTCAAATATATGTTATTTGGCCTATCTTTAATCATAAGAGTATGTTGAATAGAGCCAAAAGTGAAAATAATTTTTGGCCAGATAAATCAGACGACAAACGTAATCTCGGAGAAATACCCGTATACTCACACAACTATTTTGATCTATTTAAAACGTACCTAGAGTGGGTAAAGGGGGTTGCTAGTTTTCAATATAAATTAATATTATGTCATTTGGTCATATTTTGGTGATTATAAAATTTGATAATGACTTGAACGTCATCTAGGGTCGCTAGTTACAGTTATAATTTTATTTATCACTGAGTCTCTACTCACCCTTGCTTTGCTGGGGTTCATCCCTAGGTACGTTTTAACGGTTAGTATAAAATACAAATCTTTCAATTTCTCGGCTTTTCTGTACTATAATATGCATGTATTATACATATAAACCTTCCTCTTGAATCACTCTATCTATTGCTGAAAACTGCATTAAAATTCGTTTAGTACTTTAAAAGATCTAAGCGAACAGACAGCGGAAGCGATTTTATACTATGTAAAGATTGATAAAGAACGAGATTGAAATATAGTATAAGGTAACATTGTGCATATATAAGTAGGGGGCGGCGATCACGTTCTTAGCCCATAATTAAACTGTTAGCCGATATTAACTGGCCATCATTAATATGTGGAAACTGAAAAGCAATTCGACTAAAGGACTGTAATTATACATATAAGGAACACAAGTGAAATATTACATCGAAAACGTTTTAATTGTTTTCGATATCTTGGGAGTAGAACATATTACACATTATATTCAATCAGGAAATGTAAGTACCTACTTGTAATTAAGATACGAGTTTATTTTATATTATGGAGGTATATACATACTCGTACAATCCATACTAATACCTATATAAATTCGAAAGTAACTCTTTCTGTCTGTTACCTTTTCACGCTTAATCCGCTGAACCGATTTAGACGAAATTTGGTAAGGAGATAGTTTGAGACCCTGGGAAGGGCATAGATTAGTTTTACCCCGGAAATCATCCTTTAAGGGTGTGAAAAGGGGGATGGAACTTTGTATGGGGAATCAATCATTTCTCACGTAAGGGATAGTACCTTTTTTTTTTAACGTTGGGAAATGCGTTTACGCACGAGGTGTGGGACTCACCGGCAAAGCCAGTACTACCCACTAAAACCCAACAAAGCCTTCCCCCGTCTTAATGGGGCGTTGCAGGATCGCTTACGCATTCAACTACGACGCCCCGACGGCAGGTCTGCCGAAGCAGACCACCACAACCATGGGGTTGCTCCACAGTCCACTCTGCTATCAGAGAAGTACCAGGAGCAACCCGCATGGTACACCGCCCCCCGAAGAGGGCCACCTCCCACCGCCCACCGAAGTGGGCCACCTCCCTGTGCGTTTCTTGGCTTCGCGCCCGGTTGGGTTGCCGGGCACTACTGAGCCCCCCCACCACGACGAGGTGAACGCACGTTGGGGGGGAAAGGATAGTACCTGGGCCATCGAGCTTCGCTCGGAGTTTTTAGTAAAAAGTACAATTTTCTTTAAAAAATAAATAAAAACTGAAATAAATACGAAAAAAAAACAAAAAAAAATTATACCTTTGTATCTGACCGGGATTTGAGCCCGGACTCCTGTGGTTGTCAAACATGCGCCTTGGCCGCTTGACCACGATGCTTATGTTCTAGCGTGCGAATTTGCGACCATATTTTGAAAATCGTTGGAGCCGTTTCCGAGATTCAGATTATATGTATATATATATGATGTTCTCCTGACCGATTCCGGTCACGGCGGCCAATCTCATTGAGACTAGCCAACTGCGCAGGAGATATGATAGTGCACAAGTGTACGCGCAGACACAGGTGCACTCTCTATTCCTGTCACTCTCATACTCTGGTGGGACGACCACTCGACACGACCAGTGAGAGTAAAGGCGCAGGACCGACGGCTTTATGTGCTCTCCGAGGCACGGGGTAGAAACACCGCCAACTATAAGAAACTTAATATACAGAAAGACTCAATAACTAAACTTGGCCCGACCCGGGACTCAAACCCAGGACCTCCGGGTGTGCAGCCGTACATGCTAGTCAGTACAGCCCCATATGTATATTACATATGTACATACGAATGATGAGTTGTTGTGGGCTATATTATAATTTATAACGTGTTTTTCTGTGGGAATGAAATAATCTCCTGTGGTAAAAAGTCGCAAAATAGCGGTAATGTCACTCTATTTTGACGTGAAAGGAGGACAAACAATTAAACAAACCAACATACTTTCATATTTATATTATTAACAATAAGTATGGATTGTATGATGTGGCGTGGCAGGTCGGCGGCGTGGCAGTGCGTGGCGTTGCACACGCGGCTGCTGCAGCGCGTGGGCTTCATGCGGGCGGCGACGCGCGCGCACGCGCTGTACCGCGCGCTCGTGCTCGCGGTCACCGCGCTCTACCTGCTGCAGGAGTGCGTGTACGCGTACCGGGAACGCGGCGACATGGCGAAGCTCTCGCAAGTCATGTTCCTGCTTCTTTGTCACATCACCTCTATTGCCAAACAAATTGTGTTTCACATCGATGCAGATCGTATAGATGAAATGGTTCGCGGTTTTAATGGTAAGAATTTTTTATTTATTATTTATATATAATAAGTTACAATAATTAAGTGTATAATTAAGAATATTATGTAATTTCCCTTATTGTTTATTAGGTCATGTAAGTAAATAAAAATAACTTTACTAAAAAATGGTAAGCATTCACATATTGAGAATGTACAATATAATATTATGTACCTATATACATATTATATACATATTATAAAATTTTAAATAAGCCGAATCTACTCTAATATGTACTAGAGAGTAGAGTGTAGTTGAGGATAGAGACGAGAGTAAGGTAGAGTTGTTGGCGAGCAGAGCCGATGTACGACGGCGACGCGGCGCTGCTGGCGCGCACGGCGGCGGCGGCGCGGCGGCTGGTGCGCGCGTACGCGGGCTGCGCCGTGTTCACGTGCACGCTGTGGCTGGTGTTCCCGGCGCTGCGGCGCGCGGCCGGCCACGCCGTCGAGTTCCCCTTCTGGATGCCGCTGCGCACCGACCCGCCAGCCATGTAAATACTTGTCATCTACTCCTTATACTTCCAATTGTATGTGTGTGATTTTATTTTACCGCTAACCTCTAATGGCACACTATCCCCGATTGGATAAGCAATACCTATATTTTAGTTCTGTTGGACCGATTTAAAATATAATTATTATCTGAACTGGGTAGATGTCATATTTAAAAATACATTTCATTTTAAATAAAATAGTGCCTGGGCTACCGAGCTTTGCTCGGAGTTTTTGGCCTACAGTACAATTATCTTTTTTTTAAGCTATTGCATAGCTTCTATCGCGGGCCTTGAGCGTGGGGACCGAATCCAGAAATTTCGTAACGAAAAAACCTAACACCCCCCACTCCGACCGGCACAGCGGTGATACTTTTTAGTTTTTCCATCTATCGATAAATACCAGAACTTTTAATGACTATTTGAAATATCACGCTTGTATCTTTAGTTCAGCAACCCGCCTTTAGGTGGCATTGGTTGTATTAGAAAACTACCGTAATCAGCTGTTTGTGAGAAAGTATATAGGTGTATAGGTATTTATCATCTATGTACAACAGTGAATATCTGCACTCGTATAATTTGTGTACAAAGTGTTTTAAATATGAATAAACAAAGTGCATTTATTAATGAAGAAAGTCACGAAAAAATAGTGAAAGAAAATGAGTTAGTACTCTATATACATTCATTTTATTATTATTATCACAAATGCAGTATTATTTTTTGTTTTGTTAATTTATATATAATACTGCTATAAAGATAACCAAAATTTTTGATATTAAAATAAGCTTGCATAAGTTGATAAAAAATGCTATGCAATAGCTTTACCGCGGCAGTCTCCGAGTGCCACATTTAATTTTTTAAACTATAAACTTGAATAAATATTTAAAAAAAAAAACAAAAGTAAAAACTTTGTATGCGACCGAGATTCGAACCTGGACACCTGTGATTGTTGATTTTGCACCTTGTCCGCTTGACCTCGACGCTTACACCAGAGCGTGCAGTTTACCGACCATATTTTGCGTGGAATATTGCTAAAGAAAACTGCAAGAAAACTCAAAAACAAGCGTTTTCTCAGACATAGGACCAATCTAGATCGATGTATTGCCCCTGGAACCCCCTGCTGGAACTGGAACTGGACTAAATTTCATGAAAATCGTTGGAGCCGTTTCCGAGATTCAGATTATATATATACTCGTATATATATAAGACAATAAGTCGTGGTTATTAGGAATTGGCAAAAATAAACTTATGTGTTGTTCTGAAATTAAACGAAACTGAAATAAAACGACATTTAAAGTTATAGCCAGGTTTGTCGATTCCTTTTTACAAATTAAATTAATTAAAGTATAACTTATAACTTCAGAATTAAAAACGTTTTTATCTTGACACCTATCCATCTGACAGCGCCACAATTCAAATTTAATATAAAAAGATTAGAATAGTAACATATTAAAGAGATCTTATTTCTTTACATATATTTTTATATATTACAAGAATTGCTCGTTTAAAGATATAGGATTAGATATGTACATATAAACATTAATATTTCTTTAAGATTCGTGGTGGTATTACTGTATTCATACTACGTTACGACGTTAGTCGGAATAGCTAACACTACAATGGACGCCTTTATAGCTACCGTTCTATACCAGTGCAAAACACAACTTACAATTTTAAGGTACAGGTATACCAGTTGAATTGTAATTATTACAGCTATTGTAAATTAATTATGAATACATAATATCATATTATATTAAAAATCCTTTGTTTTATATTTTTAGAAACGATATACAAGCTCTACCAGATAGAGCTAAGAGTCTAAGCATTAAAATGGACGATAAATATGAGACAGTATTGATGGCATTGTTTGTAAAGTGTTATCATCATTATCAAAAAATTACAGAGTGAGTAATTTAGTAACGAAAAATGTTTTTAAATTTGTTCTAGTATTTTTATATTTGTTTTTTATTACTAATTCTTATTTTTAACTTATATATAAAGGTACAAAATAATATTTTTATGCGGAATTACATTATATTTATACTATTACACAACTACAAAATCAGACTTATTAATGAGTTCGAGGTCCCCATCAATTTACAGCACGGCTGCGCTACTAGGAAATATTTTCGGTGGAGCAATCTTGGTGCAATTTGGTATCGGTGGCTGGATTCTCTGTATGGCAGCATATAAACTCGCCAGTGTTAGTATATATTATATGTCTCCTAGGTATACTAAATATATAAATCTTAAAATTATTACTGACGTAATGCACTACTTCTTCTAAACTTTTCAGCTGAACATACTGAGCATAGAATTTGCTTCGATAGTTCTTTTCATTTTGTGCATTCTGACGGAGCTGTTCCTTTATTGCTACTACGGGAATGAGCTAACCGTGGAGGTAAGGTTTATCATTATGTAAGCTTACAATCTTAATATATATAATTATTCTATGCCACTGATCATCTCCTAAACGGCAGGGACGATTTTAATGATATTCTTTGTATATGTTCGAGTGGGTCCCTGCAAGGTTTGAATTCACAAATGGATCCGGTAGGTGGCGCTGCAGTCGGTGTGTCACTATTTTTTTTATAAAATACTCCATTTTCCGAGCAATAAATAAATTTAAATTGTTGATTAAATACAATTAAAATCGATGTGTGTATGTTTGTTTCTATGAACTCAAAAACAGCTGGAGCGATTTTGATGAAATTTTCAGGTAATCTTCAGATTCGCCCAGCGGGTGATTTGCTATTGCTAGTATAGGTATAATAATTTATAGGAACTTTTTACCTTATTGTAACAATAATGATCTAGTGTGTATTTTATCCTAACGCGATAGAATTGTCAACCCCAGACTTTTAAGAATTTTAAGCACTTTACGTGTTTCAACTTCGCAGACCTGGTTGGCGGTTGGTCTGCGAAATTGAAACTGAAAGGAAAAATTATAGGTTTTATTGTTTTATTTAATTGTTCAGTACTTTTAAAAAAAGTTTGTACTCTAAAAGACAACAATAGTGTTGAATCGAGTAAGTATCGGACTACTGCTATAATAAATAAATAAATATGTTGGGACATTAACATAGCACCATCTACGAGTAGTTCTATGGTAAGCTATGAGGCCTGTGTTATAAACTACACATATTATATAATTTTAAAAACATACAAATTGTAAATATAAACACTCATGACTGTGTACAAACTTCAAAAATTTATGCTCATCACACAAATTACCTAATGTCCCCAGCGGGACCCAAACCCGCGACCGCTGGCACAGCAAGTAGGGTCACTACAAACTGAGCCAAACGTGTCGTCCAAGCCTTATAATCTTGTATTATAAATCCGAAAGTTTGTATGTATATTGACATTCCTTCATGTCGAATGGGCTGAACGGATTTGTGTGAAATATAGTAGATAGGTACACAGATATACTATGAGAAAGTACAAGTAGATATGTACATCGGCGCAGAGCGAGAAGATCGTGGAGTCGGTGTACTTATCGCGGTGGGAGCGCACGCCGCTGCGCTTCCAGCGCGCGCTGCTGCTGCTGCTGGAGCGCGCGCGCCGCCCGCTGCGGCCCGCCGCCGGCCGCGTCGTGCCGCTCTCGCTGGACACCTTCCTCAAGGTGAGAGGATACCGCGGTGTAACAATTCATACGCGTTCATTTTAACGGTTTACTTAGACGTCTGTATGGATTAGTGGAGTGAGGTATTATATTCATTTGTTTTTTACTTTAAACTATCATCGACGTGTGAATATTTGTTGGTTTGTATATCTTTTACCGCACAACATCATTTGAATATTTTCATGTACATATCTTACTACATAAATCAAATGAGTTATTACTGTCATTATGTTGTTAATCTTAGGAGGGTGCCCGTAACCATGGTGTTTGCAGCTGCGGCAAAATATCGAAAGTTCAATAAAATAATTTCAAAGTAAAGTAGATATCCCAATTCACATAATGAAAAATAGTTAAAATACAATCAGAAAATGCCTAAAGTGATCGTAAATTTCGGTATGTTTTTATTTTATTATTTTTCGCTTTTTATGAATAGCAATTCAATATGTAATTTTAGTATTTATTCACAGATCCTCAAATCGTCTTACACGTTTTATGCCGTGCTCCGGCAGACGAAATAGAACACACGCTGGTCCCCGCTGCAGCGGCGCGCGGCCGCCGGCGGCTTTATACTATACTCCTACGCTAATATCACGCTGTTAGTAGTACGTGATAAATTGTAATAGTATGAAATTCAATAAATAAAAAATTAAGCATGCACTGTGGACGATTGCTTCTCACAGAAAATATGTTGGCTTCGACATTTTATGTAGCGTGATTCTATAATAGAAATTAATGAGTTTAATTTTTAAATAAGAATTCTATAAATAGACTACTTTTAAATTATACAAATTTATACTAGAATAAAATCTATAAAACTTTTAAATTATACAAATTTATACTAGAATAAAATCTATAAATGCGCAGTAAAGTTATTACTAATTTTTAGTAATAACTTTACTGAGCTTTACTTTAAGCATTGAATGCTTGCATTAAAGTAGACGACGAAGAAAGCTGCAATATTTAAAAAAATAACAGAAAAGGAATTTAAATATAATTGAAGGGCTTTGTGGTCTGATAATCTGTGCAGCCAGGGCGGGCGGCCAGGGCGGGCGGGAGCCAGGGCGGCGGTACCAAAGCCCGGATGCTAACGACGGCTCCTTACAAAAATTTAATATAAAACGAGCCTCTTAGCTCTCGTTTCAATTTAATATGAATATAATTTTCATTCATTTGCATTTCATTCGCCGCGCCGCGCTCTTGTTTATTTATATTCATCATCGGAATGGTTTCGAGCGCGCAGACACTACAAAACTAAATATTTCAATGGACGTTCTACGTGAAAAGTCATCTGAACATTCAGACGATTTTACGCTGTACTTTTATTTATTTATTTATTAGTCGTCCCTCTTGGATAAATATTCTCTTTCTATCTTCAGTTCGGTAGCTTGATTCCCCATACAAACTTTCATCCCCGTTTTCACTCCCTTAAGGGATGATTTCTGGTATAAAAAGTGTTCAATGTCCTTCCCAGGGTCTCAAACTATCTTCTTACCAAATTTATAAGTATTCTTAAATTTTATAATTTTCTGCGCAATTTTTTAATTTTTTCTTTCATAAGAACCTTCTCCTGACAATAACAAACAACAAAAAAAATATAGTTAAATCGGTCCAGCCGTTCACGCGTGATGGCGTGACCAAGGAAAATAGGGATTCATTTTTATATATATATAGATTCGGATAATGGCCACTAGTGTCGCTTATCAGCTTCAGCGTGATGCTCTCAATCGCTAATTGGACGGCGCGTGTCTGGAGCTCGCCCTCACCGCGCTCAGCCTCTCTAGTATCCACTCTAATCTTATTTTGCCTTTGCCACTTCTCGGTATATTTACAATATTAGAAACCTCACAGCTAACTGTATTAACCCTTTGGGACGTTCCGGCCCCGAGACTATTCACCTCTGTCAAATGAACTTTATGTTCCCTAGTAATGTAATATAAGACCTTAGGAATTACAGGCGGACGTTTACTAGAATCCAAATCCTTTAGAAAATGAGAACTTTGTACTTATTTTATGTGTATCATTCAGTTCTTTTACTTTTATACTTATATAGCTGCTGGTTCTGCTAGTAATATATATATATATATATATATATATATATATATATATATATATATATATATAGCAGAACCCGCAGCTTCTCGCAGTTGATTAAAAAATATTGAAATGTCTACATATTGATATAGTAAATAGTATAACTTTATTTATATAATATGTATACTGTCAACAATTTTCAATATCTTCATAGTTCATACATATAAATTGTGCTAAATAAAGCGTTTTGTAGAATGAACTGGCAGTTCCGGCGTTGCGGTGCCGCGATAGCCGTCGCGGACCAACTTCACTGGACTGTGCGGGCGGCGGACGCGCCTACATAACTTTTATCTTTCGTGCATTGTTACATTATTTTATGTTATTCTAATAAACACGTAAACACGTAGTTACTGACTCTTATAAAAAACAAAACGTAAAATAAGATATTGAAACTATTATTTTATTATTGTTTCATATTTGCTATTAAAATATTTACAAATTAAATATTTATTACTTTCAGTTTACAGCTTTGATCAACTTTCACAAGTTAGGTGGCACATTGTTTTATGGTATTATTTTTGAAAGAAAGAAACCTTTCCATACCTATGACCTAATTCTTACTATCATAATAATGAGCTTAAAACTGAACATATAATAAAATTCTAAGTCTAATCTGTACATTAAATATTTTTTGGGAAATCTAATTGAAATAGGCATTATTATCGATACAGAGTTCGAATATGTAGTTTTTAGAATTTTTGTCTGTCTGTCTGTATGTCTGTTACCGCATCACGAGTAAACCACAGGACAGATTTTGATAAAATTTGGTATGGTGATAGCTGGTTATCCGGGTCAACATATAGGATACTTTTCACCGCGGGGAAATATCTCATTTCTGAGAAAAAATACAAAAACACAAAAACTACACTGTAAGAGTATACTAATATGTAAAACCTAAGAATTTGGTTGTTGGTGGGCGGAGCCGCGGGCAATGCTAGTATATACATATAATAAAACAGTGTCTTAGCCAATATGAAATATTTTTTAAAATCTATGATGTTAACAACATGTGTGCAGAACATAGGCCCAAATTCAAATTGAAAATATTTTATTTAGCATTAAATTATTACAATTTTTTACTGAACGTCATTTAGTCTACTTACTACCAGTTCGGTAAAAAAATCCACGGGAAAACACAATAGGTAACTGGTTCGAGTCCTCCTTAGAAATTGTTCTGGCTAACGCTGGCTAAACATGTTAGGTTTAAGAGACCGCAATATCAAGGATGAGTCTATCTTCTAAGGTACACTCGCAATAACTATTTATATTGAAAACGTACCTAGGAAGTAGGGACGCACCCGAGCGATTCGAGCGAGGGTAAGTCGCTTGAGTATATATAAAATGTATTTCCTATGAGTGTGGAATAGTTTAGTATCCTAAGTTGATTTGATGATATGGCCAGTGGTGGGACCACAAAGGAACTTTTTAAACGTTATAGTTGATTGACATAGATTTTCGCATCTGAGTATGCAGGTAGTAGATAGGTAAATACGGTGCAGTTTGCGATATAATCCAGTTGCGTCAGAGCAGCGCTTCATTAACGCTCGTCTCCAGATTACACTAATTAATTGCCAGAGCTAAATGCTATTAATATTACGTCCGCGGGCGCGCGCTGAGCTTCGGCACTAATACTATATTATTAGGAATTATTGTTCGTCAATAAATTGTTATTATTATATTGACATAGGTTTAGAATTAAGATTTAGGGAACAGAATATCTATAAGAATATTTCCCCATAGCATGATAGTTCAGTAGTTGGTAGGATCTCTGACGTTTTCATCATTACAATGTATCAATATCATTTTTTAACCTGGTCACTACTTGCAATCATGGTAAACGAAAACATTAAACATTGCAAAGAAACAACTTTTATATTCCAAGAATTAATCAGCGTGTTTGCTTTCAGCATACTGAAAGGGTGCATTGAGGGAGACCCGTGCGTAGGGCACAGTGGGCTGTCAAAATTTTATGAGATACGGGTTCGAGTCTTAGTAAGTAGGTAGGTACGTCTTTACTAACGTTCATCGTACACTTGATCTAGAACGACCTTAATTATAAAATCTCGGCAAACTCTATGTTTGGGCATTATAATTATTTATAATTGACTCTCAAAAAAGAAAAAAAGTAATTCTAATACAAAAGCTTTAAGTAGGTATTTGCAAATTTTGTATATTCTTAATAGAAAATAATTATGAATAATATATTCTCTGAACGAGTATGCTCCAGAGTCATTCAAACGATGCACCGCTTATCTTGTAATTGAACATTCATTGTGCTATGGATTGGTGAAGGATACAATCAAAGCAGGATTAGGCGGGCGCTGGGAGGTGCGGGGTGTGGGGGAGGGGGGGTCCTCTAAGGAGATAAACAGCCAATCAAGCACGCAATTAAACTGAATTACCGGCCAGCACTGTGACGCAGTCGCCGCGGCCGCGCACTGTAGACGCTCTACAATGATTACACTCAGCCGATTAATGGTAATTAATATGCCTTGAATAAAGCTTTGTTCTTCCTTTATTTTAGATTTTAGATATTCGGATCCATCAATTAATATAATATAGGTACTCAATGTATATTCAGAATGCTCTTTAGTAAATTTTATTTAAATGAAAAAAAAATAAGTTCAAGAAATATCGTCTTCAATAGCCCTGGGCTAGTTCGTGATAATTTATACTCGTTTACTAACAGATTTGTTTTAAAAACAAAACATCCGAGCCGTACTTTTTGTATTTTAAGGAAGTGTGTGAGAAAAACGACGACGAAGGCGACACACGAGAAGTATGCGTAGAAGAAATAATACATTTTTGCTTCTTGAGTAACAAAAACTTCAAAATTAAGCATCTAACATAAGAAAAATGTTTTATATTTATGATATTATAAACAAGGTTTAAAGTTTAGTTTTTAAAGCAAATTAATGATTAAACATAACACTGAAAAATTATGGAGATTCTAAAATCCCAAACATAATGTATACGGGATTTGTGTGAAATGAGAAAATTCGATTTGGGACATCCCCCTACGCGCGGGTTGTTTACGACGTACTTACATTGCTTTGTGACTTGGCCTCTCGTTTGAATATTAAATTATAAAAAGGATTCCATATATGATAAAAACTTTTTAACAAAAAAATAAAAACCGACTTCAAACAAAAGCACTAAAAAGTAAAAAATAACTGATTGGTAGTTTTCATTTACTATACATACCTAATCAAATATTTTCGAAGTCGGTGTGCTTTGGACAAGTAATTAAAGCCTACCTATTAAATACATACATACCTAATCAAATATCTTCGAAATCGGTGCCAGCCCATACAAAGCAAAGCACACCGACTTCGAAAATATTTGATTAGGTATGAATAGTAAATGAAAAGTACCAATCAGTTATTTTTTACTTTTTAGTGCTTTTGTTTGAAGTCGGTTTTTATTTTTTTGTTAAAAAGTTTTTATTTTTCCCTTTTTAGTGTAGACAGTAGTAGCAAAGTAAGAATTCTA